GTGTGTATGGGGGCTATGAGGGCAGTGTGTATGGGGGGCTGTGGGGGCAGTGTGTATGGCGGGCTATGGGGGCAGTGTGTATGGGGGCTATGAGGGCAGTGTGTATGGGGGCAGTGTGTATGGGGGGCTGTGGGGGCAGTGTGTATGGGGGGCTATGGGGGCAGTGTAAAACATATTATTTTTTTTTTTTATTAATAAAATATTATTTATAATCCCCCCTCCCTTCCTACCTTTGCCCAGGGAGGGGGGATATCGCTTGTAATCCCTGGTGGTCCAGTGGTGAGAGTGAACTCTAGCCTGCACCTCCTGAGGCTAGAGTTCACTCTCGCGAGAACAGAGTGTTGCCGTGGTAACCGCGGCAACGCTCCGTTCTCGCGAGAGGAGACCCGGCGGAGCTGCAGGCTAGAGCTCCTCCCGGGTCTCCTCTCTCCGTCCTGGCTGGCCAGTAATATGCCTGCGGACCGGTGAGGGAGATCTCTGTTCTCCCCCTCCGGTCTGTGAAGGCACTTAGCAGGGCTGGCGCTTAGGCAGCACCGGCCCTGCAGGAGAGAGCATCGGATCTCGGGGGGAGGGGCAATTGCCCCGTTGCCCCCCCCCGGATCCGCCACTGCTTCTGATAAGGTCAAATATGAGACTGAAACTAGGGTTAACTTCAGGGTCTTTATTTTTTTATCTTATACATATTTTCAATAAGTATTGTGTACTAAGAAATATAGTTTTTGGCAATTAGCCCTAGATGGGATTAACAGGAAATTAGGTAGAACCAGAACCTATGAGATATATAGGTAGTAGTAAGAAAGAACCTATAAAGGAAGTTATAGGTAAGGTAGTGGGAGATAATCGAAATCAAAGGTTTAGGCAATATGCCCCAGGCAACATAACATACAATTGATATTACAGGAAATAAAGAAAAGAAAACCTATAACTGAAAATGTACAGGTAAAACAAAATACAATAGATAGAATTAAACAGAAATATAAAGTAATACAGATAAGGCAGATATTTAGTGGATAAGCCTCTTTTGGTTTGCAGGTTGTAGAGCGGGATTTTGGAAAGATGAATTAGTTCTTTAGGATAAATGTAATTATCAAGGCTGTTTGTAATCTCCACGTTGGTTAAGTAGTTTTCTGTAAATTCAGTAACAATTCAATATTAAATCCAAGGCCAGTAATGTGTAATACAGGTAGCAATCGCAGATTAGGTTACCTCCAAGTGTATGTACAGTAAACAGGTTTTCTCCAAGCGTATGGATAATAAGCAGGTTTTCTCCAAGCGTATGGTTACTAAGCAAGTTTCGAAAGTAGCCGGTTGAAAGGAATAAATCAGGTTGAATGAAATAATCCCAGGCTATAACAGGTTTTTGCAGAAGGAGCCAGGGTCTGTAGCCTCGCCAGGATCAGAACGCAATTACAATCAATGTCAAGGCAAATTGTCTAGCAGTGTGTGGCCTCTTATAGCAGGTTGAACTGATATGATAGGCAGGTGAGAGAAAGTTTGTTCAGACTAGTGGCTAAGGAGGCCACTAGTGGAGAAACATAGAAACATAGAATGTGACGGCAGATAAGAACCATTCGGCCCATCTAGTCTGCCCAACACTGGAAAACTGGAACATTTTTTTTTGTAAAGGAACAGAAATAAAAAACAAAATTCTTAGTTGTCAGGATAGGAACATGACACCCTCTGGTATCAGCAGGTCACCTTTCATATTGCTTCCCACATTGTGGTCCTTAGAGGAAGAAGAGGAATAGGTCACAGTAGGTGCCATCTTGGGAGATGAAAGCCAAATTTAGGTGTGAACCATTAGGATTCTAAAATTTTGCAACAAGAAAAAAATACAAAAAGTTACTTGCAAACTTTTCCAAATCCCATGGACATTTAAATAGGTGGAGGTTTTTAGTATCACTCCAATGGCCATTTAAGTGTAAGCTCACCTGCCCAGTCAAGGCAAAACCTCTTAGGTGAGTCCTATATTAAAAATTATCCTTGCTTCATTCAGCTAAAATGCAAAATCTCTAATGAAACAGAGATGAGTATTTTTCTAAATCCGTTGACACTTATTAACCTTTAATAGGGAACACATGAGTTGGGCGGTAGCACTGTAACATGACTGTGTATTACAAAAGCAAATGCAAACATACAATGTACCATTAGAGATGTTACCTTTCAGCTTAAAACAGCAAGGTCAATTGTTAGTGTAGGACTCACCTATGAGGTTTTGCCTTGACGTGGCAGGTTAGCTTACACTTTAATGGCCAACGTACATAAGGATTTGGGATAGTGTGCAGGTAACTTTCTCTTTGGTTTTTATTGTATGTATTGTGACTGATGTGTACTTTGGTTATTGCTGCCACACATGAGTAGTGAGAGTTTGAGAGTAGGGCTTAATTTTGTGTTTTTCGAGCATCTTCCTAAGTTCTTTAGATGTTATTTGGCAGCACAAAGCTCTCTTGTTCTGCATCCGTCTCAGTCAGGCACCGTCTTTGCCCCCCACCCCCCCCCTTTTTTTGTTTTTCTTCAAGATTCTGATAAAACAAAGTGTTCTGAGATCAAGTGTCAGTTTATCATTACAGATGATGAAAGGGACCCTGTCACTTAAAGGGACACTGTCAACTCAAAACTAGTTTTAATATCAGAATCCTTTCATCGGGTTTTGAAAGGAAATAGTTTGTTTAAAGTTTAAGCAAGCTTCTGTTCTGTTACAGATACCAATCAAACTGTCCCACAATCTATCTGTCAAAATGACCCCACAGAAGGGCAAAAAACAGACATCATGGAGAACAAAATGGCTGAGCCATTATATTGATAACTTGCACAATGAAGAAAACATACATATAAATAAGGGCAAGTGGCATGGAGGGGAGTGTCATTAAGATACAGGTAAATAGAAAAATCTCAGGCATTCACTGCGATTGTTTCCAGGCAGATTTATAGCAACGTTTCGACCTGTTAAGGTCTTTATCAACTTGATAAAGACCTTAACAGGTTGAAACGTTGTCATAAATCTGCCTGGAAACAATCGCAGTGAGTGCCTGAGATTTTTTCTATTTATACATATTCCTTGTGGTTTTTTTTCTGACCCATGCTCAGTAGCACCCTGGGTTGAATTGTTGTGGCTGAGTGCAACCCTACCATTTTTTCTATTAAGATACAGGTGACTTAGGGAAAGGTAACAAAAAAGGAAGCAAAAACATGAAAGTGATGTTTTAATATGAAGTAGGCTTTCTAAATAATATTAACGATATTCTAAATATTTATATCATTTCTGAATTACAGTTTAAATATCTATCTGTAATCCACATAGAAACAATGATACTTTCATAGCTACCGATAATACACTGTATTGCATTTGAGGCAAATCCCTTGCTAAGCTTCGCCAGACAATACTGTATCTCACCACTAGGGTGTAGTAGTGCTCTACATTTACAGTATCTCCATATTAATGAAATTCAACTTTTAGTGTTTATTAATTAATTAATTTATTTATTTATATGTTTTATTTAATTTATCTATTTTGGGGGGGGGGGAGGTTGTTAATTATCATTTATTAATTTGACTTCTTATTTTTACTTTTCAACATTCAATGAGCCGGCAATGTAAGTGCATTTTCCTGGTAAAACGGCATTAAATAAGGATGGGTTAACAAAACGCTCCGATCATATCTTTGCTAGCCAGATGGCTAATGCAGACATTCTAATGCAGAGAGGGACTAGGCTGTAGATGCCAAGACAGCCATGCAATTTTTATCAAATAACGTGATAAAGTTATATAAAAAGATTTGACAGATGGCATCCACATTCTCTTTGCACCATAATCACTACAATGCCTAGAGTGCCCCTTTAAGAACAAGGCATTAAAATGGTACTAAATTTTATGTGAAATTTAAATGTATGTGTGCTATTTTTAGAAAACTTTGGGATAGTGAATCGTCTCATCCTCGTTTAAGTTAAATTTTAACACCAGTTCTGAAAATGTAAAGAGTATTTAGCCACTCGTAGGCTTTGAGAGATAACTTGTAAATGTCATTTCTGAATTAAATGCTTTGTAAGAGCACAAGCAAACTCACTTGTAATGTTTTTCTCTTTGATTCATTTTTACTTTGTCCCTGCAGTTAGACCTATGTAGGTCACACTTCAAGAACCCTTAAAGAATGATTAAGATAGAACAAGAGAGATGTAATTGGCTAAATAAGTTCACAGGAATGTTATGAGTCTAGAATGAATTCATTCTCTACGGCAATTGTTCATAACTTGGTGACCAACTTTTCACTCATAAAGTTACCTTAGTGACCCTCTTTGCCACTGTTACATGACATAGATCATATTATTCCCTGTCCTATTGTGTATTATACCCACCTCCTATAGACTGTAAGCTTGTTTGAGCCGGGTCCTCTTCAACCTATTGTTCCTGTAAGTTTTCTTGTAATTGTCTTATTTCTAGTTAAATCCCCCCTCTCATAATATTGTAAAGCGCTACGGAATCTGTTGGCGATATATAAATGGCGATGATAATAATAATAATAATAATAACTGATCCTGCAAAATCCATTCATTAGACTCTTCCCATGTTTTAGGAAGGCCTGCATATTAGGTCTACAGCTATTACAAGCTAACTTGTCATATACTCCAAAAGAAATCTTGCAAATAGAATTACATGTGTGTTTCCTTTGTGGGTAAAGCTACTAAACTACCCAGGACATACTTGAAAACGAGAAAAATCTCACTGTATCCTTCCTGGTAAAATATTGTATAAATAAATAAACTGTGACTCCCACTGGACACATGACATGCCAGCACGTTATGTTAACATGCCATAAATCCACATGACGTGCTGCTATGTATTCCTCTATCAGTGCCAGCAGAGGTTGAATCCCTCCTAGCACCAGGGAGAGCCAGGTCAGCTAGTTCCAGATCATTAGAGATGTCGCGAACCGTCCGCGAACTTCTCGCGAACGGTTCGCCGCGGTTCGCCACGAGCTGTTCGCGGCGAACTCCGGTCAGCTGACACATCCCGGCCAATCTCCAGCAGACCCTCCCTCCCAGACCCTACTACTTCCTGGACAGCATCCATGGACTGTCTCTGCATCAGGGCTAGGGTTAGGATTAAGGCTAGGGTTGATGTAGGGTTATGTTTAGTATTATGATTGGTCTATGGATAAGACTAAGGTTTGGTTGTTGTAGGGTAAGGGTGAGGTTTGGTGCAGGGTACACTTGCCTTCAATATTCCACTGGCTGTAACTCCCATGATTCTCAGTCAGGCAAAATCTGAGTGATGGGAGTTACACTCCATGCTATCTTTGATTTAAACAGCCTGTTTGAAAGGCAATATGGATTTTAGCTCCTATCACTCACAGACACATTTTGCCTGGATGATAATGTGTTTTTATTTTTCCACTTTTTCACTTTAAAAAAAAAAAAATATTTTATTGATAATAAATAATGGGACATGTATTCATGTAAGCCCTATATGCCCTTTTACAACTGGTATATAGTTTTTGTGGCTGCACTGAATGGGAAAATGGAAAATGTTCACACACACAGGAATTTTGCATATTTTGCCATGTGATTGTCTAGCCATAAAACAGAAAATGTGGGTCATTAAAGGTTTAAATTTAAATAAGAGCATAAGCCACCAGCAGGTGGCGCTGTAAACTTGCAAATGTATTTAGCAGCACACTGTCATTGTCATTATTGATGCGGTTACATAATATGTTGTTAAAGGAACACTACATGGGGAAGAAATGCCATTTTTAATTTTTAGCCCCTAGTGTTAGTTGAGCTGTTTAGATTTTAGGCCCTCTCCCCCCCATATTTTCTTTGAAAAAATTGTAAAATAAGCATTTTCTTACCTGCAGTCAAATACAATTTGATTGGCCACAATAATGCGGCAAACAAATACTTCTCATAGAGAATCCTTGAATCCAACGCTTCTTTAAGAGAAGCATTGAACTTCAGCTTCATAGAGTGTATGAAGACTTTGGATATCAAGAACCAAATCTGGATGAGGAAGCATCATCTAGTGGCTATTAGGGAGACAGTCATAGATGGTGTGTTGAGCCCCAAAATGGCAGTGTTTTACTTTGCAGAAGCAAAACAATAGAGGCACTGCACACAGACCACTTCATTGAGATGAAGTGATCAGGACACTTAAATTGTCCCTATAACAGTTTAGCTTTACTTTATAAGGGGAAATACAGGCTATCAATTTTTTTATTTACATCACCAGTGGTTTTTTAAATAAACAAATAAATAAGATTAACCTGCAAATATTTAACACCAAATGCCTTTCATAGCTGCAAGTAAGAAGTGAAACATTTACCCTTTTCATTAATAAACATAAAAGTAGATTTCAAACTTAAAGGGATCCTATAGTGCCAGGAAAACAAACCCGTTTTCCTGGCACTTTAGGGTTAATAGGCCCCCTCCCTCCCTAGGGGCCCCCCCTCCCGCTGGGCTGAGGGGGCTTGAGTGCCCGCATTCAAACCCGCCCATAGGAAAGCATTACTCAGTGCTTTCCTATGGGGATCTTATTTGACGCTGGAGGTCCGTGAGAACCTCCAGCGTCATTTCAGTGCGATTTACTCACTGAGAATTGCGGAAGCGCCTCTAGTGGCTGTCAGGGAGACAGCCACTAGAGGCTGGATTTACCATGCAATGTAAACATAGCAGTTTCTCTGAAACTGTTATGTTTTCAGCTGCAGGGTTAAAACCAGGGGGACCTGGCACCCAGACCACTTCATTGAGCTTTAATGACCCCAGGTTGTGCTACTTACTAATCTTCACAAGAATATTTGCCCATGTTCCTTTTACTTAAGAGTATAGACTGCTAAGGATTGACAGAGCTTTGTGAAACATTGTCATAAGGACACTGTGCTGTGGGGGGCCTTGGGGATATCCATATGGTCCTGGAGGATGCTGGTTCTTCTTGTCACTTACCATCACGAGCATGTCAAAACAATGGATTGCTTAATACATTTCTTTTTACAGGGACAAATGTTTGGGGAATATTTAGGTCTGTTCTTAGTTACTACAACATGTAGAAATGGTAAATTTAGTAAATCTATCCCGAAACATTGTAATTGCCCAATGAAATGATATTTTCATCATGTGTGTAACTAAATCCATCTTACTGTCCGACAAAGCCCACGAACTGAGGCTTTCATGTTCATTCTTGTTTTTATTCACTGTTCATGCACCTTGCACGCTCAACATCCCATGCATGTTTATAATAAGAAAGTAGAACAATATTAATTATTGATCTACTTCTGGGAACATGAAAACCCCATCATTACAGGCTCACAAAAAGCGTGAGACGCATTCGATTGTATAAATTATAGTTGAACCTTAAGTACACAATTCATGGTTTTATGATTCAAAACTACTCCAAACACACCAGACTAACCCCCATTTCTATTTCTGGTATAAATACCTACTGCTATTAGCCCAAACCCAGGACACAAAACATCTGCTTACCATTAGCCTTTGGTGAGTGGACATTTAGCTCTGGTGAGTAGAACTTCACTCCTAATGTTTAGGCTATGGACTCTCCAGACTTGCAGTGGTGAGTAACAATTTAAAGCTTGGTTAGTAGTAATAGAAACAAAGAAGCAAAAATTCACAAACTGAATATAATGCTGACTGGAGATAAAGTTGTAGGAACCAAGGCATCCAGTGGTGTGGAACAATGTAACCAGAGGGAGACCACTAAATATCTGAAGTAACAGAAAGTATCAACACAAAAATAAACTGACTCCAAATAATAATAAATACTGAACTAGCCTTATAAGGCTACTCCCATGCCTAAGTAAGTGAGGAGGAGATAAAGTTACTAAACACCTAAGTCTGCAATATTTATTTAGGTTTTATTAGTCCTGGCCCTTTAATGCATAGGGTGTTAGTATGCCGAAGGTGCATATATACTGCACAGAAACTCACGTCAGGCTCTTTCCTATGGGTCAATTTTAACTTGCACACACACGGGCACTTCACTGCACTGTGTGATACACGTT